TCTACAAGCTTTGCAAGTGGGAAAACCTGAAAAATCAACAGTGTATCAAATACTTGATCTCCCCACTGTAAGCTGCCATGAAGAACATTATTTTATCTGCCCTTCTTCCAAATTTGATAATGATTTGAAACGTCGAAATTTTTTTTTTTTATCCGGAACAGCGCTTGTTGCAAAGTGTTTTGACGCTCGTCTTCGTCACCTGACACATTTAACACGCCGTCATTGGTCGAGGAGCTTTGTTTACAAAACAAATGTCCACATGGTTTTTAAATTGTTTTAATTTCCTTACTTTCTAAGACACATTAAGTTGATTTGATGCTACAGTTTGCCTTGTAATGTTATTTTATACCTTTTCTGCTACTTTTGAATTGGCTATTATTAAGTTTTATTAGTTTTTAAGATACAAGATGCTTCCTACAAAACCAGAATGTGAATCTTTTCCTAAAATTTCATGGCGATATCTTGAACACTGAGGAAGTTATGAGCAAAAATAGAAAACAGCGAGGTGAAATGGTCACAAAGACACCATTGGTTCTGCTGTGAACTGCAGCAAGAAAACGAGCTGATTTCACCTAAACAAACATCAATAACTTCCCTCTTCTTCAGATAMTCACATGATTTTGGTGTTATTTTGTATTTTGTATGGTTTGAAATGTTCTTTTGGAATCCGCTGTCAGGTTTAATAYTGGTGTAGGATTAAAAGTTTATCCACATCCCTAGATACAGCACTGGAAATTTTGCAAGAACATATGCACTCTGACAGAGTAAGGCTATTTTAATTCTCTGTATGTTTTGCACATATTGACAACAAAACTACTTGAACTTGAAAAAATAAAGTGGTGTTAGTTTTGTAGGGTGGTGTCCTGTAGCAGCTGCAGCTACAGCTTGTAACACGTCATGCATGTTTCACTTGTTTCTCTGACTCAACACACCTGACTCAGTGTTTGGTAATCACCCATTCACTCAGGTGTGTTGGAGCAGGGAAACCTCTAAAACATGCAGAATATTAGCAGCTCTCTAGGACCAGGATTAAATGTTATAAATGTGCTCTTAATTTAAATATATATATAAATAAATAAACTGTATTGTGACTTATTTTATAAGTTCTCCACCTATCAGCATCTGGGGGCACAGTCCCCTGGATGATGATGATCTCCCCCGGGTGCAGGCCTCCAGGTATGGGTCCAGTGTACGGGGTCACCTGAGTGAGTGACAGAGAGGGAGAGAGTATGTCAAAGCTTTCTGGAGGTGGATAAAATTATCAAGGCTAAAAATAATCCTCAGCTGGCTCTGAAGGCTTTACGTTTAGCTCATGTTGCAGATAAACATAAAACCCGCTGAAAACATAGTCTGCGCCACAGAGGTTTGGTAAAACTGGACGGTGGGAGCGGATAAATAAACCCGTTCTTACCGGGTTCAGAACCGTGTGTTTCGCGTTCGCCACCGACATCAGGCTCCTGTTCCCAAACTGCGACACGCAGCTTAAATTAGAACTGGCATTCGGCTCTATCTGCCAAACTAAGCTACAACAAACCGACGATGCGACGGTCTCACCATCAACGAGCTGCGCATGCGCCAGGCCACGTGACTCTCACAGCAACGGGGTTGCCATATATGCAATGAATATACGATATTTCCAGCCTCTATTTAGTTATACAATAAAAAGTTTAAAAAACAAATACACGATTATTTTAGCATTTGAGTTAACTTTCTTTTTTGAAATGTGCAWGCTCTGTTAGCACGCGCAATATATGTCAAAATGTAAATATTTTAAAGGCTCAGTAAGATATTTCGTCATTCCCTGTCTGACAACCCTGACCGAACAACAACACAACATGAGCCATGGATGGAGTTAGGGGTTTGGGTGAGTAAAAAAAAATACTGCACATTCTGAATTTGTATTTATGTTCTTTTTATTAAACCTGCTAGGAGCAGCCGCCATGTTTGTGACAATAGTGACAAACAACTGACAATCTGACAACTGTTTGCTTATGTGCACCAGACACTGATCTGGGGCATGATCAAGTTTTATTTTTATCCCATCAGATTCAGTTTTTGCTGGTCTTTTCATTAAAACAATGTTTTACTTAACGGAAGTTCAGCATTACCTTGCCATCCACACACTAAAATGTTATGTCTTTTATTAGACTTTATTTTTTTTT